AACGGATATTCTTAATTAGATACCAAATATTCCTTATGCAATGAAAAGGCAAGAAACCAGTATCTTAGGCAGTTTTAATGACCTACGCTCTCTTGGTTGGCGCAGGCTACCCTATTATTGGACTAATTATTTGAGAAACATGTTCCCAAGGTCAGAATGAAAAATACCAGTTGCTTAGTTTTCAGATGGCTGCTTAATTTTGAGCTTTACTTTCTAAAGCCTAAATTAAACATCCCAACAGACATGAATAGCTCAGCCCAAGGCTTGTCTTCCTAGATGAAAACAAGGATGGCCAACAGTAAACCAGAGGTTCCTCTGGGGCTTATCTCCTTTCAATTCTAAAATCCCACTCCTCTTTCCAACTACACATGATTGTAACGCTTGCCAATACTTTTAACTCATGTGTTGCCCTTCTTTCTTCAGTGGCTCACAAGCAGGAAAGCACAATCGGAGCTCATGGCTTTAAAAGGCACTGGAATTTGTTGTTGTTGCTGCTGCTGTTGTTGTTGTTAAAAAGAATCATCACCATCTTTGTGTGTGCCCTGCTCTGTGCCAGAAAGAATGTTGAGACAGCTATAACCATTACCTAATTGATTTTTCTCGCTCACATGCCATGCCCTCTGCTCCTCCTTATAGGCTCACATCCTATGGTGATTTGGCTTTAAATGATAAACAACCATACATTAATATTTATCAAGACGACATTAGTCCCATAAAGAAGGATGAAGCCTGAGCTATCCATGCAACAAACATTTATTGACTGTAGTTACAAGATTCTATCTACGGGGGGGGGGGATATAAGCAAGCAGACAATTACAGCAACATGAGGTAAACATATAACAAGACCCAGAATTCTCTGAGACACAGAGGCACAGCTCACCCACCCTGGGAGATTCAAAGAAGAGTTCCAGAATCAAAGTTAGCTGACAGCTCTAGGAATTTCCCCCACATGAATGCAATATGAATAGCTACACCACTGACATATCAGGCAGAGTCTGAGGTGTAACCAGGAGAAAGAATGCCTCCTCCAGATGTCACTAATATTCATTTACCAGGGCACTTCCAAAGCCCAAAGATGGGCCACAGTCCACCTATATTCATGGATCTATATAAGCTTCTCACATCTTTTTATGTCTGTAGTCCATCCTCTTCTGGTTTACTGTTTGTGTCTCTTATCAAAAATTCCAGCCCATTCGAACAAAAACTCATCAAGAGTTGAAGTGTGCAAGAGTGTGACAAGCACTAGGCACCGGAAAGGAGGTACCAGGACCCTACCACAGGGTCATATGACTATCAAAGTACAGAAGTGAGAAAAACCACAAGACTATCCACCAACCCAATCCACTTCCCAACGGATGCAAAGTGAACCCATTACTAACAATTCAATACTATGCTTATCCTAAGGGTGATACATTTTTTTCTGTCCTGTTCTGCAGACTCCAAAGCCCCTTCCCTGAATGCTCTTCCTTGGTGCCTTTAGGGAACTTTGTCTAACATACTTTTCCTACTTCAGAGGACATTGTTTTTTTCAATCTGCTTGTTCCTATCACTGTGGATGTATACCACAATGCCAGTATCAAAGGCAAATAACACAAGTTGACCGTTTTGCCCTTCCAAAACTAAAAGAAAAGTTGGATGAAATTAATTTCTAATGTCTCTTCCAGTCTCGGACTTTATGACATGATTGAAGCCACAATGAAAGTTGTGCGTCAGTAAATTGGCCAAACTTTAGATATTACTGTACGTGAGCCAAAATTTCAATGCTATTTTCAATATACCCACATTGTCAATGGACAAGATTATCAGTGCATGCATGGGCAAACCAGGCCTGGATCATACTCAGTATCTATTTTAGGACCACTGCCATAGGTTTTCCTCAAATAATCACAAACAAAGCACAAATTTAAGTTAAAAAAAGAAAAAGGAAGGAAGGAAGGAAGAAAGAAAACTAGTATGACTTAAGTGTTTTGGCTTATGTACTTATATCTAAGAATGTGGAATTATTCTTTAACTTTTTAGATTTATTTCATGTGTATGAGTGTTTAGCCTCCATGAAGGTATTGCATCCCCCTGCAACTGGAGTTACATATTGTGAGCCACTATGTGGGTGCTAGGAACCAAACCTAGGTCCTCTGAAAGAGTAACAAGTACTCTTAACAGCTGAGCCGTTTTCCAGTTCCAAATGTGTAATTATTTAGTTATGCTTCCTATAATTGAATATTAATTATCCTGAAATCTTAGCACTAGAAAATATAAAATCTGTGCTCTGTCCTTTGAAACTTGGTTTAGTTTCTCTTGGGGAGTTGTTGTCGTCGTTTAGATAGGGTCTTATGTAGCTCAGGCTGGCCTTGAACTCACTATGTAGCAAAAGATGATCTTGAGTTCCTGATGTTCCTGCCTCTACCTCCTGAATGTTAGGGTTGCAGGTGCTAAGCTTTTTGAATAACACTACAGATCCAGTAGCAGGACTATGGCCACAGTCATATGCTACAGGGCCGCATACACCTCTGTCCAGTGCCACACTTTATACAACCTAAGTGTTGATCTTATCAATAAGATATGCATCGTCATAACACACCCCATAATTTGCAGCTCCACTTATCATCCAAAGCATAAAGAAGACCAGAAGGCTACATTTCTCAACTCCTGCACCAGGAGGGGTCTCGAGGGGAAGCATGCCGGAATTGTCGTTGTGTTGTGCACCAACAATATCCTCAAGTGCTATGGAAACAGCCTTAAGGGTCTGGGTAGGTCTTGACAAAAAAGAGCTAATGCCTGTGTGCAAATCCAGCCTCTACTATTCCTTAACTATATGACCCTGCAAGCAAGTGACTCACTCTGGGCATTGTTTTCCTTGTATATAAAAGAGAGCTTCATAATGGCACCTTCCCCATAAAGCTGTTGTCAGATTCCAGTATGCATGAAGTGTCTTCCTCGCCTCACCTCAACCCCATTAACTCTAAAACTGTTCACTTTGAAGAATTCTGAATAGACTCCTGGAATGTAGAAAAGCAAACATGAGGAAGCTAACTGAGAGAAAAGAGAAAGATTTCAGAGTTGCTGTGTCTCAACTGATTGAGTCAAATTGAGTCTGGGGGTTTTCAGGAACAAAAAACAGAGCTTCTCCACAGGACACCTAAGACAAGAAAGCAAGTGGCATTTAAGACGGAGAGTTCTAAGAACTGACTTTTGATGAGGCGTGGTGTCCCTGAGTCACTTGTTCGCATGGGAGGAGGGTAGGATTCCTCCATGAACCAGAAACAATCTCACATGATCCCTTCTTCTCCGTGTTTCAGATCTACAGTTCAACTCAGAGCCAACTGCTCAGAACTTTATAGATCTAAGGATATGGAGAGAAGTTGGATAAGAGAAGAATGGAAGCCAGGCAGTGGTGATGCATGTTTTTAATCCCAGCACTCAGGAGGCAGAGGCAGGTGGATCTCTGTGAGGGAGTTCAGTGACTAGAGTAGCTGCTAAGAATCACTAAGTAGCTGTCAACCTCTAAACAAATGGCAGTTTATTCGGGTGGGGTCCCCTCTATTGCTCCCACTACATTCATTGCTACCATATCTGGCTAAATACGAACTCTGCCACCCATGCAACATTTGTATCATTAGAGAGAGGAAATGCAAAGGCTATTTGAAGACAACCAGTTCAGAGCTTATCAATCATTTAGAACTAGCCATACATGTCAACACCACACCAACATCAATCACATTTAAATAATGCATATATACACAAAGCCAGCAGAAGCAACACGGTTACTTGTTAGCATTCAACACAGCTCATACCAGGCTCCTGTTCTGAGGAAGGTACTGCTTGAAAAACCTCGGCTTTTCACCAACACAGCTCCTATCTTTGTAGACCACATCTTCAGGGCCACCAGCAACTTAACTGCCCTAGTCAAAGTACCCTGACCCAAGCATTGGAGCAGCAAAATCCAAACAGGGAAGGCCGATGTGAGAAGAAAACAAATCCTGTGTCAGCAGTCATGGCAGAGGAAGGTATGGCTCCAGGCTTCCTGCTTTCAACTCTGAGACTTAGAAGTCATGTCGCCTCTGCTCCTCCCAGGAAGCCCTGGATATTCTACAGTCTACCTGAGGACACTGTTCCAAACCTTGAGTGTTCTGAAACTAAAGTCAGTAAGTTGTGATGCAAGTATTCACTCCTCACTTCAGCCATCACCCACAAAGCCTTGGTGTGACTCTACTGAAGACAAGAGAGCGCCCTCTCTGTCTTGACTTCCTTCAGCCACCGCTATGTTCCCATGTTATCTGTAGCCACTCTCTTCTCCAACTGAGGAATTAATTCCTTAATTCTCCCACAGGTTCCTATGCACCCAAATAGGCTTTCTGCCTTGCGTAGTCCCTTCATTTGGGATGTGCTGAAAGATTCACTGGATGAATTAAGAACTCACATGACCCTCCCCAAGAGTTTATGGAAAGCAATTTTGCCAAGTGTCTGCATCCCCACTCCATACTCTACAGGCAAAGTCCCAATACTAAGTATGCATGTGTCTCCTTCATTCAAAGACGTCTCCATAGAAAGACGGTCACAGTGGGAAACCTGCCACCCCTCACAAGAAGCAGTTCTGAACAGCCTGTTGCTTGTACATTTTGAGTTTCTGGCTGTTGGCAACAACAGGTAATGGAAAGAAAAGGGTACCTCATGGGCACAGTGGCTTATGGCACTAATAGAACCAAGCAGTGCTTTCTGGCCAGTTCTCTGTGTGTCTGTAATCTTCTGCCACACCATCCCCAATCTGTTTGCCAAGGCCCTCAAGATGTTTCCGGCAGGTTCTGAATTATTGACAAACTTAGGGAAGATGCTTTGGAAAACACCAAGTACTAAAACAGACCTGTACAGCTAGTGCAAACACTTCGCCATCAGCAGTTTCCTTTATAAGGTGGGGGGGGGGCGCCTTGGCTAAATAATAATGACATTCACAGAAGAGTTGACACTGAAATTCCAAAGTTCAAGATCTCAGAAGCTCTACTCACCCCTAGCCATCTCGCTCCTTTATTGGCCGCCTGTTGAATCTGGACTCTTTTGAGGGTGACATGGTAAACAGCTCCTTCCTCAACTTCTTCACCCCAGTCCTGAATCGAGCTCTGCCAGGCACAGAGAAAGAGAGAGAAAGAGGGTCGTTGTGTGCTGTTGTTTTCTTCCCCATCGCTAACCACACGCTATCCCAGCTGCTCCCCTGCTTCAGCACTCAAAGCCTGAGATGGGCTGTTCGAATAAATATTCAATCAGAGCAATGCAAGACACATTGCAACAGGCAAGGCTGATTTTCTTGGCCTGCAGCCCTTTCCTGCGGTATCAGGATCCTCCGACTTCTCCAGTTCAGTTAGTTTTCCTAGACTTGCCACATAACTTAAACCATTTTTTCAAGTTTTTTTTTGTCCTTCATAAGGAAACTGTGGTTTAGTCCTGATAAACTCTGTCGCTTTAAGCGAAACGAAAAATAACTCATTTGCAAAAACAAAAGTTTATCCCTCTCTAAGTGCGCAAACATTTGAGCAACGGCGGTTTTAAACTCCCCGCAAACAAGTGTTTTAATGCCAAGAGCTCTTTGGGAAGTGAAGTTGTATGACTTTTTCTCCTCTTACTGTTTTGGAACCCAAAAAAGTTAGGGGGATGTGGAAAGTTTTCATTTCCGAAAAAACAAAAAGCAAAACTCTGGCAAGTGCAGAGAAAGCAACACATCTTCATGCAGCTTCCACTGAAATTCACATAGCGACCCCCTGGATAGTCATGCCGCCTGCTAGACCTCAGATGTGCCTTAAAGGGCTGCTGCTGTTGGGAAGTAGAGCAGAGCGCAGCACCGCTCCCCCAGACTGAGCTCTGTCCTTTCTAGTTTCTGCTCTCCTGACGCACATCTGTCCCAGACACCCCGGGTGATGCCTGAGTACACAGGCAATGTTTCTAGGGAGAAGAGGCACAGAGAGGGGAGAGATACAAAGCAGAGTAAGAAAGCTCCCCACGGAGCGCGAGGTCCGGGTGGCTCGATCACTTCCACAAGACTTTAACAACCCAGCCGAGAAAGCGGGAGGTAGGAAGATTCCCCTAGCAGAGAGGCGTCCGGGGAAGGCAGGGAGCTCGCGTTACCATTTTAGCTTGCCAAAGCAATTTCATTCTCAGTTTTCTCTCCGGTACGCGAACACTGCATGATGCGCCCTGCTCCGAGGCGGCCGCGGCGTCTCGCTGGCCCGGCTCCGGGTCCCCGCTCTTCCCACGCGCCCCGCTGCCCCACCGCCACCTCCGCCGCCGCGCGCGACTCGGCCACAAAGGAGAACGGCCAGCGAGCGAGCGAGCAGCCCGGGAGCCCGCGGCCACAGACTCCTCCCCGCCGCTCCGTGATGTCAGGCTTTCCTGTTTGTGCTTGTGAGCGCACTCTCCCTTTCGGAAGCCCTGCGGATCAAGGCAGCGAGCGATCGTTTCTCCGGCTCCGGAGTGGTCGGGGAAACGAAGCTTTCAAGTCGACCGGTTCATAGGGAGTTTCCTGGTGGCCACCAGGTGCCAAAATAGAACCAACTGTGCCACACGGCATGTGTGCCCGGCCTCCACCGCCTGCTGCTTCGCTGAAGGAAAACTGGGGGAATTCAGGATGAAGGACACTTGTGTGATCTGCTTGCTATTTGGAACTTGGGATAATCAAATCAGAGTGCCCTCGGCTTCGGGGAAGCTTTTCATTAGGATAAAGTCAATAGATACCTGGGTATCTAAAAACCGTGACTGGGGGCTCTAACCTACTACCTTGCACCTGCAGCTGCCTGGACTTGTTCCTACAGTCCATTCTTGTTCATTTGCTTCTTTCTGACAAAAGGTGGCCTGGTTAGCCTTGAACTTTTGGAAGTTTTGTGGCAATTCTCCTGCCTCTGTATTCTGAGTAGTAAGATTATAGGCATGCATCAGCTCCACCACCCATTCTGATAAGGCTTAGTTGCAGCCTTCCTGGCTACTGTGGGTGAGAGCAGACAAGGCTGGAGAGGATCTTGCTGGATCTGACAATATGTGGCATGGGCCATAAGTGGACCTTGAAGTTTCTGGAGTCTCTGTGAGTAGCCATGGGGTGTCTGCACTGTGGGCAAACAGTGGAATAATTACTGCAGGGAAAGCCCTTAGAAGGACACTGCTGGTGTCCTTTTTTATCTTAACACAAAGATCTATGTGGGACAATTACATTTTAAAAGATCAGCTTTCAACACATCAGCAGCAAGAGATAACAGATAATAATGCAGCCAAAACTGCACCTTCCAGCACTCCACAATCACAAAAACCTTGGGGCTCATATGTTTTACAGGCATCACCTCTGATCACTTTGAAAAAGACCTCCTCCTAATTGCTGTGCTAGGGCATACCACTGAGCTTTGATTAGTAATAAATATATCATGAGCTGAAATGTCAAGGGATCAAATGTATGATGTCCCCAGAAGAGCAGAAGAAGCGACAGCAAGGGCATACCAAGGAAGCAAAAGATCTCTGCACACTAGTCTACAAGTCACTCAGTCAAATGCTCCTCAGACAGTCCCAAGCTTCAGGGGTCCAAGACTGTGTAGACAGAAGAATGTTCTTTTTCCAACTAAAGTGGCTGCTTCTGTTGCTTCTGTAATTTAAGTACCTGCTGTGTAAAGGGAGGGACAATGGGACCCAGTTCAAACCTGGACTTAACAGTGCAATCAGGTTAGATACCACTCAGATACAAAGTGGGACAAACACCCACCTCACCCACACAAATCATCTGGTGCATGGAGAATTGTCCAAAGGTATCATTCTCTCCCTGCTCCCCACAACCCCCAAGCACTACTGGCCCAGACTCCATGGAAAGCTGTATCATATCTGCAATGAAGACAAATCTGAAACAGTGTCTTCTCAATTACAGTTCCAGAGAAGTTTACCAAGAATGATTGTGTTTATACCTAAGAATGAGTTATTTAACCCAAAAGTCCTGGTAAGAAGGTATATTGATTACATTGCCTATAGGTGAAGTATTTTGAAATAAAATTGAAAAACTATCATTGCCTTCAACATCTGATAGTTCTAAATCACATACAGTCAGCTTTCTTTGAAATCTTTCTTCCCTTCATATGTCTACATGCCGCTACGTCCTGGCATGATGATAATAGACTAAGCTGAACTGTAGGGGACCCAATTAAATGTTTCCCTTAATAAGAGTTGCTGCAGTCATGGTGTGTCTTCACAGCCATAGAAGCCCTAACTACAGCACACACTAACTATAAATAACTTTTTAAGGGAAAGATGGAAGGGAAGTGGGGAAGGAAGAAGAGAAGGAGACGCACATGCTGAGGTAGCCTGTTGGTGAGGATGCAGAGAGGAGGGAGCCCTCGTGTACTGTTGTTGAGAATGGAAGCAGTATCCACAATGAAAAACAGTACAGCTTTGCTCAAGAAATTAATAATACATCTACCATAAGATTACTCAGTAATGTCAATTTTGGGTATTTATAAAAATGTATGTAACTACAGATCTCTAAGGCATGCCTGCATGTCCACGTCTATCACAGCACTATTCACAATGGCCAAGCTACAGAGACAATCTAGATGTCAATCAATGGATGAATGGATAAAAGAAAACATGATGCAATGAAGTGTTATACAGCTTTTAAAAAGGCAGAAGTCCTGTCATCCATGACTCCATGATGGACCTGGAAGATGCTATGCTGACGGAAGCATCTCAAAGACAATGTAAGATCTCACTTCCATACTGAATCTGAGTAGTCAGTCAAACACATACGATCAGAATAGAATGGTGATGCCTGGTGGGTGAGAGCAGGAGGCTAGGAAGGTACTGGTCAAAGAATTCAAAATTTCAGTAACATGAGATAATTTTTGCATAGGGCCTACAGCTACTGTCTTGTATGTTTTAAGTTACCAGAGAGTAGATCTTATATTATATGATGGCAGCAATAATGGAGCAGGGAGAAACACTGAAGATGCACCTGTCCTTGATGATGGTGACAGTTTCATGGCTATGTGCTGATCTCCAAGCTCATCAAGTTATAAATAAACATACAGCATGTCACATGTCACCCATACCTTACTGAAGTCACTTAAAAAGCTTGTCTTGAAAATGGCAATGCCAACATAAGATGGCTAGAAATAGTAAGACCTCAGCTTTGCCATCCCCAAACTCAAGCCTAGACTATAACATCCTATGTTCAATCAACAGTTTAGAGCAGCCAGGTGGTGGTGGCATGCACCTTTAATCCCAGCACTTGGGAGGCAGAGGCGGGTGGATCTCTGTGAGTTTGAGGCCAGCCTGGCCTACAGAGCAAGTTCCAGAACAACCAAGGCTACACAAAGAAACCCTCTCTGGAAAGGCAAACAAACAAAAGTTTAAAGGAAAACAGCTAAGAGTGGAGTAACAGCAATGACTATAGGAAGAAAGGGAAGTGAGTGGGTTCCAATCCCTTTACACCTTGCCTTACCAAGTCTGAGTAGCATTTGTCTCCACCCACTCACAACAACTACCTAAGGGGCAGCCTTTCCTACTCAATGCTAATAGAGCTGAAACGAAACTGTTAATAGCCGTTTGTGATCATTTTATTAATAATTATACCTCAGCTATCTGTAGATTCCTAACAACAATTTTGGAGGAAGATATAAGGAAATAAACCAGATGCTTCTTAACTTTACCTTCAGCAATATCTAAGTATGGCTGAAACGTGAGGCCCTCAGTCCTCTGGACAACCCCATGAATGCTTCTCCCTGGTCTTGAGGTTTGCAGGCTGTTTTGCTTAGCAATAGCTTCCCCCACTCAGTTCCCCAGTACCATCTGGGCATTCTACTATGGTTGTTCCCAGCTGTGAAAACTGCAATTGGACTAGGGGTGCAACTCAGTGATAAAGTGTCTACTTAGCATGTGCAAGGCCTTGGGTTCAATCACCAACTCCAAAATAAAAAAACAACAAAAACCCTGGGGTTGCCCCAGTTGCCAACTTTTAGCTTGAACTTTCAATCTTGCTCTGCAAAGGCCAAGGCGCCAGTCACGCTTGGTTAAAGATGAATGTCCTTTAAATGACTGACAGTTGCTGTCATCTTCTCAACTCACACCAACCTTATGAACTGTCAATTGTTTGGTTAGTGGA